ATATTGATAAAGCCACCCAAAAGGTGGCATGGGCATGAATAGCCCATAAGTGGAGGCCCTTTGGAGCCATTACCAGTATCAATAGCTGGTACTGGGGATCAGTGGATCGTGATCTAGTGGTGGTTCTAGATAGAAAACTGTTACCTGAGAACCACATTAAGAACATTGTGCGAGGAGCCTATGCTACACTTTCTAACTTCAGAATTGCTTTTAAATACATGGATGGCGAAATACTAAAGAAATTGTTCACGACTTTTGTTAGACCAAAGCTGGAATATGCAGAGGTTGTATGGTGCCCATATCTTAACACTTTCGCGCACCCGGCGAAGGTAAAAAAAAAAAAGCGGTATGTGCGCGCGGCGTTTTTGTCGCTTAAGCATAAAAACAAAAATGTGTATACTCTTTTTACTCTCCTGACCTTAGTTCTCGAGCTACGTATTTCATTTTGGTACCAACGTGTTCGCAATAAAATTCTCTAGAAGAACATCAGTAAAAAAAGACACGAAACGTATAGGGATACCAGCACCAAATAAATAACTACGAAGATGACTCGCCGTGAGCGCCCAACAGCAACAAAATGTTTTTACTCTTGGGATTGTTATCACCTCCACACTTGTCCTACAGCGTTAATTTTGGTATCAATGGACTCGCAATGAAATTCCCAACACGGTGATATGAATATAAACGTAGAATAATGGTCACGGCCCACCCGCAAGAGTGTGGGAAGTGGTGAAACTGTTACCCGGTATCGGTGACGGGACGACACATGTGCGATACGGCGCTTTGAAAGTTTATACTTATTTCACTGTCCTGACATTATTATTCTATGTACGTCATTCATTTTTGTGTCAATGTGTTTGCAATAGAATGTTCTATGAGCCCGTAGGTAAATAAGATCAACAAAGCGTAAGATAGAATAGCGCCAAATATAAAACAACGCTCGAACATATCAGTGAGCGTCAAACACACACGAAATGTTTTTACTTTTGTTATGTTTGTCAAGTTTATACTTGTTGCACACAGTTATTTTTGGTTGTACATTGATCGGAATAAAATTCCCTAAACAGACATATGCATATAATACATGATATGGGGGAAGCATTACCAGTATAAACGGCTAAAGTCACCCACCTGCAACCCGTTTGGGACGCTCATGCAGACACACGCTACACCCACAAAAAAATCTATGAAGGTTCGAGTCTACTTATGGCAGTTTATGTGATACAGTGTTCATTCTGGTATCAAAATACTCGTTTCAGTTTGTAGTTCATGCGATTTTCAGAATCAACTGAATCGCTGGAGGTTCAACATTTGAGTCAGAGTCAGAGTCATCTGACAAAACCGTCTAGTCAAATGGCAGTGTGCCAGACATCTCGGGTTCTGATTCGGTTGCTGCTTCAGCTTGAGGTGTTGAAGTGAACAAGGGCCGCCTCACACCAGATGGTCCAGGAGTTTGCATGGCGTCAGCATAGGCAGGACCTGTGTCATCATTTATGTCTGGAGCGTGCCGCAAGTGTTGAGATACTGTTGCTGTTTGAGGCCAATCTTCCGGGTCCCAGCACAATAGGGCCCAATTTGCCACCTCGTGGAACTGTAGCAATGTTAGCTTTTTTTGATCAGTTGTGTTGTATTTGTACAAAACAAAGGCATTATGCAAAGCCATTTGCAGGAAATAAAACGTTATCTTTTAGGTCCACTTGTGAGTTTTCCTGGTAAAATGGTAATACCATTTGATCGAAGTGGTCCACACCTTTCATGAACTTATTGTACCATGCAGCCTAGTGGTGAGAAAGAGAGCCTCATGGCGCGCAGTTTGAAACAAACCCAAAGTAAATCGGATTAAAATTGAATTTTATACAAATATTTTTTTCAGGACATCATTTTATTTCCACATCGCGGAAGCGGGTAGGCGAAACAGTACTCCAGGCGATGTCCTGATCCGCACAAAGTGTTAAGAAGCACATCAACAAACTGGAAAAGGTGCAAAGACATGCCACTAAGTGGCTCCCAGAACTGAAGGACAAGAGCTACGAGGAGAGGTTAGAGGCATTACATATACAAAAACTAGAAGATAGAAGAAAAAGAGGCTATATGATCACTATGTTCAAAATAGTAACAGGAATCGATAAAATTAATAGGGAAGAATTCCTGAGATCTGGAACTTCATGAACAAGAGGTCATAGATTTAAACTAACAAAACAAAGCTGCCGGAGAAATATAAGAAAATTCACTTTTGTAAACAGAGTAGTAGACGGTTGGAACAAGTTAGGTGAGGTCGTGGTGGAGGCCAAAACCGTGAGTAATTTCAAAGCATTATATGACAAAGAGTACTGGGAAGACGGGACACCACGAGCATAGCTTTCATCCTGTAACTACACTTAGGTAATTACACCGACCATAACAAAACGATCACCCTCGGGCCATGCGCAGAACGCATGAGGACTGAGGAGGCTCCACCATCCCGTCAGGGAGGGAGCCTACAAGGTTAATTAAACTATCATAATAATTGTGGAGACAGATTACTAAGAGAAAAGGAGAGAAAAAAATTAGATAAAACGGGGAAAGACGATAAGCAGTGTGGAAGAGTACCAACGAGGCCCATAAAGGACCAGAAGTAAACCTCACCGGAAATCAACAGATGTTCCAATAATATGGCAAGTACGAAGATCCACCCGAACCTTCGAGACCCCTGATAATCAAACACAAAATCACAAAGGCACAAAATCATATGGGCCCATGGCCATGCAGGATCCCACTACAAAGTGAACAAGAACTTGACATGACGAAGAATACATGTCCTAGATAGAATGCGGAGAAAGTGGATAAAAGAACCCACAGGAATGACGGAACCAATGGACCCGAAGGGACAAGGAACCGAATCCGCATAGGGACAGACATGAAACCAACTCGTACGCAGAGGGGGGAAGGAAAACCTCACTCCTAACAACTGCAAGCCCCGCTTCGAGGGCACAAAAACTGAAGCAGGGTCAATGGGGCCAAGGCCCCCCAGTCAACCTCTCTCCAGCCCCAGGAACCTCCACGGCAAGACCCAGGGCCGAGCTGTCCCCCCCCCCCCCAAGCCCTGGCCTCACAAGAAAAGGCCAGGGCAGCCGTAAAAACACTACGGAAGGGAGCCCACTGGTCAGACCCATTCACCATGGCTAGAGGGAAAAAGCTCGAATGCCTCAGTCGCCACCTCGGAAGGGGCAATCCCCGAGACCGCCCAAGTCTCAAAAGCATCGAAACCCCTCCCCGACCCCGAAACTCTCAGACAGTTCGGAGCCGGATGCAGGGAGGGGAGTGGGGTGGACCAGACGGAACCACAACAGGGAAAAGACAAGGGGGGTGCGGATGGAACCAAAACGACTAATACCCCCAAGCCCGGGTCCCTACAACCAAAACAGGGCAGCCTCGGAGTTTCCGGGTAGCAAATAACCTAGCGCTTTGCAACCACCTGAACACAACGTGCAACGCCTGTGCTGTCTGTACCCGCATAGTCATCATAGGACTGGGTAACTGAGTCACAAACAAGCAACAAAACTCGCAGGACTCCGGGCCGAAGGTGTCACCGACCCAGCAGGCAGCATGACGGAGGCAAAAACAACGAGTTACCCTGAGGCAATCTTGAGGTTATCTTGAGATGGTTTCGGGGTTTAGCGACCCCGCAGCCCAGTCTTCGACCAGGCCTGTTTGTTACACACCCCCAGGAAGCAGCCTGTAGCAGCTGTCTAACTTCCAGGTACCCATTTACTGCTAGGTAACAGGGGGCATCAGGGTGAAAGAAACTTTTTGCCCATTTGTCTCTGCCTGCACTGGGGATCGAACCCAGAACCTCTTGACTACGAATCCAAAGCGCTGTCCACTCAGCTGTCAGGCGCCCTGACAAGAAGACAGAGCAACCCTCAAACTCGCACAAAGCGAGAGGGGGGGTCTCAGGAGTCACATCCATCGGACCCATGCATCCCCGTGGGGATTCCTAGGGTCCTGAGACAGAACACATGCTCAGGGAAGCCCAGGCAGGGTACTGCTAACCAGCGCCCAAGTCTACCAACAACCTTCTAAGTACTGAACCCCTGAGATGTGTACACTCATAGGGACATAGCGGGGAGGGAGGGGGGGACTACCAGAAAAACAGAAGTGCACAATATACAGATAGGGGGCAACCAAGCAAAGGCAGACCCCCACCAGGCAGGGGAAAACAAAAACAAAAATAAAACCCCGCAAGAGGACAACATACCCAGGCAGAACAGAGCCAGCCGCCATGATAGGGGAAAACCAGCTGTGCAGCCCCACAGTACCAGTGCAAATTACCCTAAGGCGAACAAGGGAGTTTTGATGCTCAGCATTTGAACTGGAGTTGTTGAGTAGCTGGTGCGGGGTGTCCCGGGGCTCCCCCATCCCCCTCCCAGGGAGGGTTAGGGCTGCGTGGACAAGCGGCCCAGCGGTGGAGTGTGGAATTTGCTTGTTAACTTTTTTCTTTAAGTAGGGGGAGTTCTGCCTCTCTGTTCGGTCTTTGGTTGCAATTTTCTTACTATGTGGGGGGTCTGTTTTGTTATGCCTACCTTTCTTGGTGCTAACACTGGTCAATGGCAAACATAGAATGCCTCCAAATACATGGGGCTTTTCCGTAGATCATTGCTCCCTTTGCATTCCTGGGGGAAGGGGGGCCAGGTTCTGGCTCATGGTCCCCGGTAAGCTCAACTCCAATTGACTGATGCCCCAGTCAAATATAACACATATCAACCTGATAACTCCACAGAGCCTCCTGGGCTCACCCAGAAAATGACATTTCATTGCATTCAATGCTTTTTTTTTTAACTTCCCAAACAATTGTGAATGGGAGGTTACACCAATTGAATTAATTGGCCAACCTAGGAGTGAATGCATATTTATGGCTTATGAGTTTATACATAGTAGAATTGGAAATAATGGCAGTTAATTATGCACTGGGTTAAATATATATTGTCATTAATATGATAAAAGTATTTTTTAATCAACAGTAGGCTTGATGAAAATGAGCTGAGTATGATGGTGGACCAAGGTACAGTAGACCAGTTACTAGTGGACCAAGAAACTGAGGAAAGCTTCCGGAGAGACCACCGCACCACATCCTCCACATCTTCTGGACCCTAACCTCTGCCTACATCTGCATTGGATATTGACTCTTATAAACATTGCCAATACAGACTCAACCATGACTGCTGGTAACCACCTGAAGCTGCCAACCACCTGAGTTGTAATGTCTGTAGCTACTAAATCTCCTCAAGGTTACACCCCTCTACTGCCACTACTGTCATGTAGATTATGGGGAGTGTGACTTTAATGCTATGGTGGCAACAGTTGAGTTATTTCCAGGTAATGGTGGTGTGTTCTAAATGCTCCTTCCATTGAAGTTTTTTGCAAGTATTCCGTATTCTAAAATGGTAATTTTCTTATCTAATAAAATAAATAAATATACTTGTATGTAAAATGGTGCTTACTTTCTCATGCAATAACATAACCACAAAATTCTTGGTGACTTGACACTATCTCTGTAATGAGGTTTAACCATCTTAGATTACCCACAAGAATCCGAAATATACTGCCAGTAATTTCAGTGTTGCCTAACACAGCTGTATTTAGGGGAGACACTCAACTAAACTGATATATTTCATTTTTGTCTGCTTATATACAACTAAAATTTTTACTCTCTAACAAAACCATATTTATACATAAAATTGCTTAAACAATTTGACTACAATTTTGTCTGTTATTTTGCATCCATCCCAGTATTCATAAATTAAATGATGGGTACCATTTTATTTTACTAATTTACAATTCCCTCTTCATGCTCATATCATTAAAATTTGACTCCATTCATCACAAGAGAAATGTCCCTAGTAGTTTACTTTAGGTAATTCAGTGCAGGATTTTCGTTCTTCTACTTGTCATACTTATTCTGGAACTTTGGAAAAAATCATTAACAAAAATATTAGAACAAAATACTGTAATGCAAATGTGACTAAAGGTTCATATATTGAGTGCTAGAGTTGACGCTGTCTTCTTATCGCTCACTTTGCAGCTGAGCAATAAGAAGAGCTTAGTGTGGCAAGATGATATCCTCGAAAACCATCTCTCCTTCCCCCTCCCTTATCCCCCCCTGTCTCCTTTGTCTCCTTTGTTATCAGTTGCCCCTCGTTTTTTTATTTTTGTTGTTGGCCTTCACCTCCATTTGAAGGAGGTGAAGGTTTAGGACCTTGTTCTCCTCTAGAAGTGTAGGTTTTATTCTTTTGACTCTATTGGGCAGTTTCTTCATTGTGGCCTTTTTCTTTTCAGAGTCAGCTTGAGATGGTTGGCTTCCAGAGGTTATTGATTTTTTAGTTGTTCAACTGGTGGTAATTACCTAAGTGTCGTTTCAGGATGAGAGCTATGCTCATGGTGTCCCGTCTTCCCAGTACTCTTTATCATATAATGCTTTGAAATTACTGATGGTTTTGGCCTCCACCACTTTCTCACCCAACTTGTTCCAACCATCTATCACTGTTTGCAAAAGTGAATTTTCTTATAGTTCTTCGGCAGCTTTGTTTAATTAGTTTAAATCTATGACCTCTTGTTCTTGAAGTTCCAGGTCTTACAAGTTCTTCCCTATCAATTTTATCGATTCCTGTTGCTATTTTGTATGTAGTGATCATATTGCCTCTTTTTCTTCTATCTTCTAGTTTTGGCGTATTTAATGCCTCTAACTTCTCCTTGTAGCTCTTGTCCTTCAGTTCTGGGAGCCATTTATTTGCATATCTTTGTACCTTGCATCATTTGTTGAGTCTTCTTGAGATCTTGAGGTTATCTTGAGATGATTTTGGGGCTTAGCGTTCCCACGGCCCGGTTCTCGACCAGGCCTCTTTTTTTTGTTACACACCCCCAGGAAGCAGCCCGTAACAGCTGTCTAATCTCCCAGGTACCTATTTACTGCTAGGTAACAAGGGCATCAGGGTGAAAGAAACATTTTGCCCATTTGTCTCCGCCTCCACCGGGGATCGAACCCGGAACCTCAAGACTACAAATCCGAAGCGCTATCCACCCACCTGTCAGGCGCCCTCAGTTCAGTTTAGTTCAGTTATGGCGGTCCATGGTGCCATTCCATCTAGCCAACTTGTAAATAGGCCTATGTTGTTTGGAAGTTTGTCATTGGCATAAGTATTTTTTAAATTGTTGTGGGATGATATCTGGGCTTGAGAGGACAGTTTTGGAGGTCTCCTAGGGTCTTAATAACTTTTACCTGGTCAATGTTCCAGGTCCTCTTCAAGCTTGTGTTGGCCTGAGTAGGTCTCTTTCCTTTGGGGGTTTGATCTTTGCTTTCTGCCTTCCCTGCCAAGTCCCATTTTTTCTCATCTGTGGTGAGGAAGCTACAGGGAGCTATCATTCAGCCCCTCCAAAAACCAGCTTTGAATGAAATGAAATGCCACTATTTTGGGACTGAGGATGAGGGAGTAGCTTCTGTGTTGCTGCCACATGGTAGTGGTCAGCTGTTACTAAGGGTGTATGACCAAGCTATTAGGTGAACTGTTTGCCGAGTCATTTTCTGCATTGTTTGTTTACTTTCTGTGAATCTTGTAACTTGACTGTTTTGCTTCACTTTCTTTTTCGGGGGATTGGATTCTTTGGTTAGGGTGATCATGAGTTCCCTGCTCCCTGTGCCTCTGTGAGGGTGAGGATGAGGTTTAGCCTCTGGTCTCCAGTAGGCTTTTGAAGACTTGCAAGGGCTGATGTGACTTATGGGTGTGGAGGTATCTCAGTGCAGCTAACTACACAGAGCCACCGAGGCCTTCCCAGAAAGAGGCATTTCATTAATTCAACGCTGTGTTTTTCTTCACTTTCCCGACAGTCACACTCCATTCCCACACCAAATAATGTACTTCATAATCATTTATCTTCAGTTTAATTTTTTTTGTTATAATCTTACTCAAGACCATTCCTCTCTAGTCATAGAAATATTTGCTTAATACTGGTGAATATTTTTTAAATAATTTATTTGGTGTTATGATGACAGGCATCAAATAAATATCATATTTGAAATATTAGATTTACCCTCAAAACATCAAATAATATGATAAAATATTATATTAAATCACAAAACCATCAAATAAGATATTTAGTTAGTGTTAGATTAAACCACTTTGTAGTGTATAGTGTTGCTAAGTTTGTTATCTTGAGTGTCTCTCCTTTATTAGAGCCTAAATCCCCCAATATTGGGAAGTGTTAGTAGCCTTCTTACCATTGTCTCTACAACCCCGTGTGCTTCACCCCAGTTCATGGAGGAGGCGAGTGTTTCTACCTTACCAAACTTTCTACCAGATAATAAGAGTGGCTACAAAATCTTGCAGCAAAGCAGTTACTCCTCTTTACTCACCTGACAGTAGTTTTTATTTGATGTGTGATAATCTATTTATATCCTAGCAAACACTTGAGTAATACTGAAGTTTGATCATTATGGATGAGTCTCGCTGAAGTGTTGGCTAGGACAAGACTCACACGTAGTATCGTTCACATCTGCATAAACAGGATTGATACTTTACTGGGGTTGTACTTAATGGCGGCCACTGCTCTCTGCATTAAATGTACCTTTTCAACAAAGCTAAATTTTTAATACGTTTACTTCGGTCAGCCATATGGCTGTTGGCCATACTCATCTTAACATTTCAATTTAATAGACAAGATTTTTTTCTGTGCTGTATTATAATCAAAAGATTGTTGATCAAGTATTTGTAATTTTGTCTGTTCTCCAGTGTTTTTGGAGAAGAAAAAGTACAATGAAATGTGTTTGTGTGTTTTATGTCATGTACTGCAGTCTTTATAGAACATCTTATGTATTCATTCATTGCTGCATTTTTTATTTCAATTGTGAAAGTTATTTAATTATTTGCCCATGTATTTTCATAAGGAGTCCTTGCATGCTGGACTGGAAGCCAGATGGCATCTACAAGAACAAAGTAAGCATGTAGGCAGTTGTATTTTTCTGCAGGTTGGCAGTGAGAGGCAGCTCCTCAATACCAAGCATATGAGGAGCAGCCATATTGGCTATATTCTTTTTCAGTGTTAAAAAAAAAATTCTGAAGGTTGTAGTTCCTTTGAAATACAACAGTGTAGCAACTGTCATAAGAACATTTTATCGCAGAATGCAATTAAACCAAAAATCCTGTTCCTGAGTGAACACTGCACTGTCAATAGGAGGCTTTTTGTGTTGAACCCTTGCTGCTCCCAAGCTGAAGCTGGCCAACCTCGACACCACAAGCCAAAACTGAAATGACAATGATATCCACTTATTAAAGTGTAACATGAAGGTCATCTACAGGAGGTTGTTACCAGCTACTGTTTTCTTTTTTTTATATATATATATATATATATAGTTTTCCACTTCTCTTAATAGGATTACTCTCAAGCTTTGGTGGCAACTTAATTCAACATTGTCATGTTTATGAATTTCTTCACTGTTTCCATGTATTTGGATGTGAGAGTTCTTAGTGTCTTATCATTGTGTTGACATTAAGTGTAAACCTACAATCATTCAAATATTTATTAAAGATAGATCTCATGCAAGTCCCAGCCAGAAGCAAATAATGTTAAAGGACTTGTCGTGCAGTTGAGCCTCAACATGTGTGTGTGTGATGGAACTTTTGTAATTGGGGAAAACCAAGTGAAACTTTTTTATATGATAATTTTAGAAACAAGTTTGACATGTATACAAAGTGATGCGGTGTTTATGTAAAGCTGTGGTATTAAACTGTTTTTCTTGTCATTGAGGTGTTCAACCTTATGACTTATTTTTTCAAAGTTTTTTTATAATTTAATAATTCAGATGTTCTGGGCTGCAGTGTGTATCACAAAGATGATTTACCTTTGGTCAATTATGATATAATGTATAATTTTGTGTGTGTGTGTGTGTGTTTGTGTGCGCGCAATATAGAGTATTTGTAATTTATGGGTATTGCCGCCTTGCAAGATGGCACCACGTGTGTTATGTTTATATTATGTAGCTTTTATTAAGGTGTTCGTATGTTCCATTTACCTTGAGAAGGTAAAGGAATTATAATTTTGTTATACCAGTACTATTAATTAGAAACTAAATACATATATTGGTTGTTATAATGAAAATAATAGCACAAGAAAATTCTGTAATTGTGAACATTATAAGTACAAATTCATTAGGTGTACATATTTAACAGAAGGACTTTATAGCTAATATATATATAGAAATATTCTT